CACATAAACATTCTTACTGTATGCACGTTAGCACGCTATTATTCTCATGTTGGCATGTAGCCGCTATATATGGCAAAAATGACTTGTTGCTCTGAAAACACTGTTGGTTAAAAAAATGCCCGTCACACCTGTGCACAGGGGATATTTTTAAAGACACTATTCAATTATTGCATTGGTAGAAAGAAGCCAACTTTCTGTCATCTAGAACTTTATTGAAACACGAGCTTGGCTCTCTATAGATGATTACACAACGCGGGTGTTGTCAGTGGCACGCTGTATCTATTAGGAAATGAAGAAATCAAACGTGATTGATGGTGTTATTGTTATTTTATGAGCTTATCTCTATATAAATGCCAAATGGGACTTTTTTCTGCAATGTTAATCCAACCATCTCAAGAGGAAATGGTGCAATTCTTTCATCTGAAATTCTGTGTAGGGTAAGTCTCATGATTAGTGACAAATGTTTCAAAGACTAGTGTTTCCTTGTGTTCTGCTTGGAAAACGTGTGATTTAATAAAGAAATGCATGAGGAGGCGTGTGCAGTGGATAGAGCCTTGGTCTGGGGATCAGATGGTCACAGGTTCAAACCCCACTGCAGTCAGCATGTTGTTGTGTCCCTGTGCAAGACACATCACCCCAAATTGCTCCTGTGGGGATTGCCCACAGTATTGAGTATGTAAGTAGCTTTGGATAAAAACGTCTAACAAGTAACATGTAATGTAACGTAATGCATGACACACTGGTAAGAGAAATCAGAGTTTTTTTTTAACTTTATTATATCATCTCAGCTTAGTTTTGATGATTTCTGGTTTATTGATTTGAAGTTCAATCATTTACCCACTTAGCACGGTTTAACAAAAGGCCTTTTCTTCATTCTCACCACACCTAAAGGATGAGTGCATACCATTTGTCATTGAATAGGTGTGACGTTACAGCGATGTAGAGATGGTTTTTACTGTCAGTGCAGTATATGTCTCTTGTCCCAGTTCCTCCAATGTGTTTGCCTTTTACTGCCATGCAATTCAGGGTAAACATCCACGCTGGAATTAAGGGAGAAAGTAAGGTTCGATTGAATGTGCTGTGTTTTCAGATAAATCCCCAGCGTTAACATTGACATCCCTCGAAAAAGCAAAGTATCTTAAAATCTTACTTCAGGACAGGTCTTGTATATCCAAGTAAATGCAGGTTTATTAACTAAACTGTTACATTGTGAAGTTACCATTGATTCTGTGTTATACCCGGAGCAGAGGAGTGAGCTTCATGCTAGCCTCAAATACTTCCCTAGTTTATCTGTTTCCCCGACTTCCTTATCCCTGCTGATAAGAGCCGCTGTAAAGAGACGAAGACAAGACATTTGTGTCTGTGTGCAGGCATGTCAATGAGTCATATGTACACAAGTATGTGCAAATGGCAAAATGTGTGTGTGTGTGTGTCCTGTGTCTGCACCTGCTTCCCTGGGAGGAAACATCTGCTGCAGGGTGTCAGAGGCCACCTGTCTGACTCCGTCCCCACTGAGCGGCCTGCAGAACTGATCCACTGTGCGCGGGCTAAAGCTGCAGCAGGGTGATGTAAATGTGGAGAAACAGCTGTCCAATAAGACCGCCCCGTGGCCCGCCATCTGAGAGGTCGAATGAATATGAAAGCAACAGGAAATCTTGTCTGCGTGCTGGAAGTAACACATTTACAGGGTTTTCATACGTATTAGAGGGCACAGACTTCTTGAATAAAAAGGTTTGAATTTGGAAATCATCAGGAACATGGTGAAACAAATCCTCAATGGCACAACTCAATTGATAAAAACAAGATTATTACCAGACAAGCATGTAAATATATAGATTAATAACGACTTTGTATTTTGCATGGCTATAGGAATGGCAAAATCCCTGTCAGAAGTATTGGCACGCACAATTGTGTACGTGCTCATGGTTCCCAGAGGATGAATCCTACTGAATGACCTTTTGCTCTAACATAGGGTTAATATTTCTTTGATTAGCATATTATCAAAACATTGTATGCATTATCATGAAATGTGACTGACTGTTCATTCTCTTAATATGATACCATAATAACTTTGGTCATCCACTAACTTTTAACATACAGCCATCAACAGCTTTGTGACAGGCATGTTGATGTAATATGTGTGTAGAGCATTTGAATAGATGAAGCAGTAGTGCAACCACATTGAAGTGTTAGCTGTCTCGTTGATGCTTTTGAAGTCTTTTTTTTGGGACATGTTATGCCTTTATTAGAGGGTTGACGGTAGAGAGAGAGGAAGTGACATCCAAAAATGGCTCTCATGAATTAAATGTCGGAACCTTTAAACAATAGGACATCAAAACGCCCAAGGCAGTGTGATACTTTTCATTCTCTTCAAATACATTATGGTGGTTTGCCTGTAATTGTTTTCAATGAACCCGACCGCAGCTGCTGTCATCACAAAAAAACCAAAGACGAGATGCTCTTCCTTTTAAGTTAAATGAAAGATTGTCATGGTTGGTTTGAGACGTGGCACGAATCGTCTTTTCATCAAAGTTGTTTGCTTTATTTCCCCGTTCACTTCCACTAATGCATCATTATTTCTTAACCACTTGTCAACACAAAACTTTATTTATTGGTACTGAACGTAGCCTAAGATGTGGAATATGCTGTGCAGAAACCTGCTGTGTAAACATGAGTTCATGGAAGACTGCACGTAAATAAAGAGTTGTTTAGGATGCCTCTGACATTAAGATTTATTACTTAAAAACCCCCCAGAGTGTGTTGGCAAACAGAGCACCATTGTTCAGAACGTAAGGTGTCCCAATTCCTGTGAATATCAGGATAGCTGCTATACTTCCCATAAATGTCCCACTGTTGTACCGATTCCAGAAATATAACTTATAACCGGCTAGCCAATGGTATCATCAATGATTAAAATGTTTCAGAAGATTAATAAAATCGTTGTTTACCGCTCGGCTGTCGGGCAGATGGAGGAGCTGAGCGCGATGCCAAAGCTTGTTTTCTTTTAGAAAGCTCATGCACTCGCAGACATCGTTTCTACCTCCACTAACTTGGGTCTTTTATGTTTTAATTAAAAAGTAATATGTGTCATTAACTTGTCTTTCAGATTCAAACTGATGTTTGTTGAGATGCCCAGATTCCCTTCCAGTGTTTCATGTTTTTTTACTTTCGACAGCTGAAGGAGGCAGGTACCTCTTTTCATTTTGTATTAAAAAAAACACAGTTATATTATGTTAGTAAATGTGTTTAATACCAATGTGCTCATCATTGATTACGCATAGTACAGATATATTGGAGATTACCTGACAGCCACACACACACACACACACACACACACACACACACACACACACACACACACACACACACACACACACATATGATTAGGTGTTCCTCAAAAACTTAATTTATTTTCAGTCTAATCGGTTTGAATCAACTTTTTTTAAGTCTTTTTTTTATCTTGTATCTGCAGCTAATGACAGTTTATCATAGGGAAACTGACAGAGGTGGAAGATGCTTTACTTAAGTAGAAATACTAAGGTCTTAAAATACTCCATTAGAAGTAAAAGTCCAAATTGTTACTTAAGTAGAAGTACAGAAGTAATGTCATCTAAATGTACAGTATCAAAAGTGTCAGTATTCATTGCTCTGTTCACAATAATATTCTTTGTATAATGTTGTAGTTTGTCAATGTGGAGACAATTTTAGATACTTTAAAAAGCATATGCAAATCACATGTTTTGATATGTAAAAAGTAGTGTTTAATAAATCTAGTAGAGTAAAAGTACCACATTTGCCTCAGAAGTATAGAGTAGCATAGGATGGAAATACTCAAGTCAAGTACAATTATGTTTTAAAGATGGCACTTAAAGTAAACTTTGCTACTCTCCACCACTTGAAACTCACGAGCACTTCTTTTACAGAGGCAGTAAATCGTCCCAGCTGCCTCCAGTGCCTCTTTAGCTGCTTGTTCTCATTATAAAGTGTTCTGATGGAGGACACGAGGGTAATCAATAATGCTAATAAAGATTAGATGGTGTTCCAGGCTGAGGCACTCACTGATGGTCATGCTGAATTTATTACGTAAAGATTAGGTGAGAAAGGTCTTCAAATGTTAGTATCTAAACGTCCATATATATTACCTGAAAGTTGCTACACTATCTTTGAACTGGTAAGACAGAAACAAAATCAAACAGTGTTTAATGGATATGGATATTGTAGAGTACGAACAGAAAAAAAAGGAATCATATCTTTACTTTTTGAAATCACTTGAAAACTGAACTGCACATTGTGTGTGATACCGGCAAAGAGAAATCAACATGTCTCACCTGAAATGCTTTGAAGTAAGAAGAGAAAGTGTTTAAAATGTAAATACAAAACAAAAACCTCCAGTATCTGATAAATGTAGAGGCTTCTCCAGCTGTCATCACTTTTCCCTGTAGTGATGTGTTGCAGGCGGTCAGTAGAGGGCGCTAACAGCCATGTTTCTTCTGCCTGCAGGTCAGTGAGGAGCAGCTCAGGTATCCTCTACTAAACACAACATGTGCTGGACTCTACATACTTTTACACATTATTTATGAGTCTGATTTATAGCTTTATACTGTGTATTTGTTTTATGGTTTGAGTAGAACCCTCTGAATTATAATTCTGCAGAAATTCTTTACCATAAACATATGAGATTGATTTGTATGGAACAAACATGTATTGCCATATATATCCACACGTTCAATACAATTACATTTTAATGTGTGTTTGTGTGTATGTATAATAAAAATACAAGCTCCTGTGTGAGAAAAATTCCATAATAAATCCAACAGCGGTCCTCCCCTACACTCCTGATCCCGCCCACTTTTCCTGATTGGCTCTCCACTGACGAACGTTCCACCCAGACGGCCTGTGATTGGTCCGCCGGCTGTCCATCACCAGGGGGAGCGCCCGGCTCTGGCTTTTGGCAACAGAGACGCACCGCTGCTCTGCTTCTCTGCTGTTTAGTGCGTCGAGCGGCTGAGGGAAGTGTTGTTCGCGCGTCTTGTTAAGAGGACCAAACAGCAGCAGCAGCAGCAGCGCGCGCTTCATCCTCCAGAACCTGCAGGTATCCCGGGGAGCACTGCGCCGTGAATGCCTCCCACACCAGAAGGAGGATACTGCTTTAATATAATTTTTGACTGATTGAGACATATATATTTTTCATTTCCCTAATGGTAACCATCACTGGGCAGCCGGAGACATGTGGAATAATCTGGGGAAACTGCACCGCTTCTCAATAGTGTGTCTTCTCCTGACGCTGTGCGCTGAGGTGAGAACTTTATCGCGTTGATCTGAGAGGAAGATGGTGTTTCTGACGGTGTTTAATTTATCAATCCACTGGAAGTTTTGTAGGGGGTTAGATTCCAGCCTTTAATTGAATTTGATTCTCTACAGTCCGATCATGTGATCTCGGAATGTCTAAATTCCTTTGGGGAGATAAATTTAAGTTTGATTCACAGGCAACGCAAAAAGCATCTGTCACATAGGCTACGGTACAGGTAATACAGGCATTGGCTGCTTCAAAGCAATGCACATCTTAAAGTGTTTACTATCTGGAGAACGTTTTGTATTTATGTCTAGAGTTTCATGATTTAGGGGTGGATAAGAATCGTAAATTCGTGAACTAGGTGTACATGTTTGCACTACAGCTGCAGCCTGAAATGCAGAGTGGGCTAAATTGGAGTGTCGGTCTTTGAGTAGCCCTGAAGTTCAACTGTGCCAAACTACTGTAGTATGGACTTCAGGCAGTCTGCACATTGCCAAAACAAGTCCTATTTCTTCCTTCAAGTTGCTCATGGGGAGATTACTTCCATTGATAACAACATATATTTCCATTTAAAGACTTGATTCATCATAACAATGTTTTAAACAGATTTTTATTGCGACTTAACACCTTATTATACACCTTTCTATAAAAAAAAAAGAATAACAAGAGTATAAAATGTCAGTTTAGAGTCGGTAAATGGCATTTTAAGATAGAAAAAAATGACATTATTGCAGTGCAAATACCTCGTTCAGGGTTTTTTCTGCCTTTCTCACTGTCGTTTCTTCTCCTCAGGTGTCTCACTCCACTGGTTACTTCGAGCTGCAGTTGATTTCGGTGGAAAACCCCACAGGTCAGCTCCTGAACGGGGACTGCTGCGACGCGGAGCCGAGCGCAGCGGACGGCCACTGCGACGCAGACGAGTGCGACACGTACTTCAAAGTGTGTTTAAAGGAATACCAAACGGAGGTCGCGACCAAAGGAACGTGCACGTACGGCTCGGAAACTACTAAGGTTATCGGTGGGAATACTTTTCAGTTCAAGGGCCAGAAAACCGGACAGAACCGGAACCATGACACCGGGAAGATCCTAATTCCCTTCCAGTTCGCGTGGCCGGTAAGTGGATCTCTCAAACTATTCACCTGGATGCACCTCAAAGTTGATCATTTACATACAACGTGATTTAATGTGAATGATCCTTCATGTTATGTGATAAAGTTGACTTATCAAAGGGAGTTTGTATGTTTTGGAGTTGAATCAGTTTGGCACTATTTTCTGTAACAAGTCTGTCAGAGCTGTCTGGGTTTCTGCGTGCCGCTCATTCTTCCCTCCGCCTGCAACTTTTGGCGTCTCTACATGATCAGGCATCTCGTGAGGGGATATCTCTTTCCTGTCAGCGAGTTTTTGTTGTTAATTTCTGTGCGTTTCTGACCAAGCTAAAGCCCTGAGCATGCATGAGGCATGACTTTTACGCACAGCAGTGGTGTCTCGGTTGATGAGTTACTGTGTGTGTGTGTGTGTGTGTGTGTGTGTGTGTGTGTGTGTGTGTGTGTGTGTGTGTGTGTGTGTGTGTGTGTGTGTTTGAAGTGGGGAAATAAGGATTTCCAAGTGAGTGCTGATTAAGAAGTGGCAGGTAACTCGTTATCTTATCCAAACTAACCTGCTCCTTATTTGGAGAGCAAGCGTGGGAAACAGGAACAGTGGTGACAATCAGAGATTTATGAAAGCTGCTGTAACACTCAGAGATCTCAGAGAGGTGTAATGGTGAGAGTGAAGTCCTGTGCAGGAAACGTCACAGGTTTGATTCCCTCAACAGCTGAGTGAGCTGTCAAACAAGAGTCCTGCTCATTGTGAGGCAAACTGGTAACACAGAGGATGAAAGTCAAAACGGACCATCTGTCCATTAATAGTTTGTGCTGAAGTGATTAGTCCTTTAACCGACATGTCAATATTGTTGAGTCTTTAGGTGATTACTTTAGTAAGTTAGTTACTCTGTGAGACTTTACATCTTAGTGCGAGTCATGTTTAGCTTTTATTTAGTTATAAAAAGTAACTTCTTCTTAAAACAAGTGAGATTTAAAAAAACATTTACTGGCTTGTTTAAAGTATTTTCTACAATTTTGCATGTGTTGTGTCATTTGAAGTGATACTGACGATCATTTTGAGAAAAAACATTTGAATGATCTTAAACTATTTAGAGACATGGACTTTTAGACTGTATGAAGAAAAAATCCATAACAAATCTTGCTCCTTGCATTTGCAAATCTCGATTTCTTTTCCTATTTCTCTGTTTTATATTATTGTAAATTGAATATTTTGAGTGCTTTTCATGGTTGCTCTGATGAAATAGGCTGTTTGAAGACTTGGCTTGTGCTCCTGTAATGTGGGATCGACATTTGCCAGAGAGTGCCTTTATTGAAGATACAGCGTTGAGATGGTGAGATAGTTGGGATGGTATTTCCTGAATCTTCTGCAGGCTCCGGAGATGAAACTGTGTACTTGTATATTGATATAAATTGCTCCGAGCTTGCAATCATTCAACTTTGATCCTCATTTCAGACATTCTTGCTTTGGAGAAGCAGTGTGTGTGTCCATGTCAGAATGTACATATAGTACATATCGGGTGCTTTGTGTGCTCGGCTGGCTACGTGACCTCTCCATTCATCACTCCTCATGGTCAGCTGTCAGCGGAGGGGAAGATGGAAGTAGTAAGTTGGGGCCCTGCAGGCGGATACGGTTACCACTAAGTTGTGTGTGACACAGGCGGTGGATATCAGTGTCACCAACTACTCAAACAAGTGAAGATCCTCGGTCAATCTGGGCCGGGGGACGCCTTTACCTCGCCGCCTCTCAGGTTCAAGCTCTATCTGCTATTCGGCCATTGTCTCACTCGGCGTGTGTGGGGTCAGTATTTTCCACTATCTACCCGAAGGGGGGGGTGGG